ATTCCTAGAGTTCTAGCACGAACCTCTACGACTATAACGCATAACAATAAATAGCAACGTGTGCCCTACTCATCTAGTACACGACAAACATCATCAAGACTCACGTTGTTCGAACGGTTATGGCTTAGATTCGGACTTAGGCTCTAAAACGGATCTAGGTTCCTCGACTTCTCCATGAACTAACAAATCTTCCCTTTCCTTAAAACGGACAGAGTTTCGGCTTGAATCTCGATCATTCCAACCATCAAAACCACAAAGGGTTGGATTCAAGATCACAAGACGAAACTAAGTCAGATAGAAAAATTAGGATCAGAACGCCTTACCCTAAAAACTTCACGGCACTACTGGATGGTTCCCGACAACAGACCGCGGATTGGATCACGATCACGTACTAATTTGGTCAGAGGTTTGGAACATTTTCTATCTAAGAAATGAGAGCTACTTGGTCCTATTTATAGGGTTAAGCAAGCAGGTAGGCACAGTAGGACGGTCAGAAGTGTGTGTCGTGCTTTCCAATGAGTCGTTGCATACGGTCGCGACACCTCGTGCTTGCGGATTTGTCGTGCTTGTGGATTTGTCGTGCTTGCGGATTTGTCGTGCTTGTGGATTTATCGTGCTTTCGATGACTCATCACACAAGATCGCGACACCTCGTGCTTACGAGATTTATCGTGCTTCTGATTTGTCGTGCTTGCAGATTTGTCGTGCTTGCAGATTTATCGTGCTTCCGATGACTCGTCACACAAGATCGGACACCTCGTGCTTACGGGATTTGTCGTGCTTGCGGATTTGTCGTGCTTGCGGATTCCAAGCACGTCAATCCCGAGCAGCTGTGTCGTGCTTCCGCAAACTTTTATATTTTTGTAAAAATATCAAGATTGAAAGCACCTTGCCACCTTATGTTTCTCTCTCGTCACGTCGTGCTTCGGGCCTTCTCGTGCTTAAAATCCCGTCATGCTTGACAATTTTTCTTCCATCAACTAGGTCTTGGCTCGATCATCTCTGTAACTGTTTTGATCTCTTGACAGGGTCATTACAGTTCATCTTTCCCTTGGTCCCGTATCTGCAATCCGTGAGAATCAATCGCGATCCGAACCGTATTTCACCTCTTTCCTTAATATCCTCCATAATATCTTTCACAATAAGACCATTTATATCTCCCTTAGAAACAATCGATGAAACATTAAGCAGCTGAGCCCACTGTGGTATGACATTGTAACTGATGGATCATAAAGAGGAGATAATCTTAGTTTTCGAAACAAGTTAATAACTCGTTTTGAAATAATATCGAAACAAAGTAAAATAATCAAAAAGTGTAACCAACCTCTTTATGGATGAAGTAGCGATGGTAACACCTTTGTAAAGTATGAAAACCTGAAAATCTCCTTTGAGACACATATAATAACCAGGAAGATCAGGAGGGATCCTGATAATTAAATCTCCTTTTACACTAAGACGAGTCTCGGTTGTATTAAGCACCGCTAAATCCATAGAAGTTATTGTAATATCGGGGACATAATATTTTTCTTCATTATCTTCTTTTCGAGTTTGCACATCTAACCAGTAGAAGAGACCAATGAACAAGGACATGCCGACTAAGAACCCGACTATGGAAAGAACGGCTTGCCAGTTCTCTTTTTGTTTAAGTTTAGACCATAGAGAAACGAGTTCGGGAAATAATGCTTCGGCTCCCATGATTATGTAACGCAGAGAGGGAGGGATTAAAGAGCCAGAAGATCATATATTTTTTGGTGAAAAGATGACTTAAATAAAGATGAAATATTATATTCTCCAAAGATTTGGGTATGCATCTAAGTCTATCCAAACTCAAAAAATTTTTACATATATATTAAAATATTATAATTAAAAAAATATTTAACTAATCAAAATATCTTTTTTTTTAATAGAATAACTAAAACTAATCAAAATTTCTAATTGATAAATACAAATATATAAGTTTATATTTAAAAGAAATTTTGTTTAACATGTGGCAAAATCTCATTGGAGTTTTTTTAACACGTGACAAAATCTAATCGCCTAACTAACACGTGTAACGATCAAATTAATTACGAAATTTAACGCATTAAATTTT